AAGAATAAAGGCATTTAAACAAAAGTGAGGTTTGTTACTAGTAGACATGTCTTACAAGACATAGTAAAGAAAATTTTTTAGGTTGTAATCAAGTGACACCAGGCATTTATATAAATCAACACAAAACAACCAAAGAGTACTGGGAAATTATAAAAGACACTATAATTGCATATTTCTTTTTTTCTCTTAACTGGCTTAAAAGTAATTATAAACCAATCCATACATAATTATGTTATTATCCTATAATATATTTGATCATAATGGCACAAATGAGGCAGGTGGAAACAAAGTTGTTTTAGAGTAATAAAATGACACCAGCTGATATCAAATCTATAGGAAGAAATGAAGGGAATCAGAAGTGTTAAAAGATTCATTTAAAAAAAACTATGGATATGTAATTTTTTCATTACTTCTCTTACATTCTCTAAAAACATAAGAGTAATATTATAAAAATGTATTCGATTTGTTACATATGTAGAATGTATATGTTTAACAAACATAACACACAAAATGAAGAAGAAATAGAGCATATAGAGGACTAATGTTTTTATATTTCACTGAAATTAAATAGTATAAATCTGAAGTAGATTCTAAGAGGCATATTGTTAGCCCTTGAGCAACTGTTAAGATATAAATTTAAAATAATGAAAATTATTAAGGAAATAAAAATGTTACACTAGAGAACATTCACTGAATAAAAAAGAAATGATCAAGAAGGAGCAAAGAAAACAGACATTAAAATGGCAAGTATAAATTCAGACATATCAACAATTACACTGAACAATGCAATCGAAAGGCAGAGATCCAAGAAAGTGCTCTCTATAGGAGACAAAGATATAAATAGATTATACCCAAAGATAGATATAAATAGGTTAAAACTAAATGGGATGAAAACATATATACCATGTACTATAATCAAGCTGAGTGGCCATTCTAATATCAGATAAATTATATTTTAAAACAAAGTTACTGCAGTTAAAGAGGAACATTTTGTGACAAAGGGAAAATATATCAGGAAATTATGACAGTTATAAACATACTAGAGGCCCGGTGCACAAAAATTTGTGCACTGGTGGGGGGGGGGGGTATCCCCCAGCCCCCCTTGTGCCCTCTCACAGTCAGGGACCCCTAGTGAGATAACGACCTGCTGGCTTAGGCCCACTCCCGGGTGGCAGAGGGCAGGCCCA